GGGGGAGTATCGCCATGGCACGCATGGAGCCATCGACAGGCTGTACCTGGTTCATCGGAGTACCCTTCGCCGGTGAGCAGCCCCAGGCCGCAGGCCGCCAGCAGAATGGCCAGGAGGGAGAGCGCATCGAGACGCTTGTCATCGGGAACGCGACTGAGGACGATGCCGCGGAGGATCCCCCGGATGGATTGCAGCCAGTCGGCCGGTCGAGGGCCCGACGCGCCCTGGCCGCCGGAGGGGACGGGCCGAACCAGCGCCTCCAACAAATCCGCCGGCAGACAAAGGAGGAAGTCGCGCAGCAGGGCCAGCCCTTCGAAGCGGCGGGCATCCGCCCGGGCATCAAGCAGCTGCGCCAGGCCAGGGAGCAGGTGTCGGGAGAGCGCTCGCGCGGCATGGCGCTGCGTGGTCAGGGCCGCCTGGTCCTCGGTGTCACCGGCCACCAGACCAGCCACCAGCTTGAAGACAACCGGCAGGAAGGACGCGAGATCAGGCTCGGGGCTGGACTCGCTGCTGGCGGCGGTCGCGACTGCCAGGGCGGCACCCAGTTTACAGAGGCCGCGCAAAAGCAGCAGCGCCAGGTCCGGCAGCTGGGCAAGCTCCCGGCGAAGGAGGCCGCCCGGGACCTCGGTCGCGGCCAGCAAGAAGGTCAGGGCATCCTCAACCGACGCGGCCCAAGTATGGAGCTCATCCGGGCCAGCAGCGCGGGCGGCGGGTGCTTCCTCCGTCAATTGCACGAGCACCAGGGACACCTCCGGCAGGGGCGACAGATAAACCTCGGCGCTGGTGAGCTTCGGGTGTGCGGCCATCTCCGCCAGGAGCGATAGGGCCAGCCGGCGGACATCCTGCCCGGTGGCCTCCGGATCGAAGCGTCGCTCGGCCTCGCGGCTCCCGGGCGGGACAAGCATGTCATTCACGAAGCGCCGCCGGTCCATTGCCTGGTGCACGGCGCGCAGAAGGCGGAAGTGGGTTTGCTGATCGACCGGCGGCTGGAGGAGGGCCCCGGCAGTCTGAATGGCGCGCAAGAACTCCGGCAGGGTGGCCGCTGAGCGGATGGCCCGGATCGCGCGGTCCACCTGGCCTTCGGGCCCGTCCATGGCGGCGCTCGGGGGCTTTGGAAGGGGGGGGGGGGGGGG